ACATTGAATTGAAAATTCAAGCAAATATTTTTCACCCTTGAAATGTTCAGTGGTGTTTATTCGACTTACCTGTTTGAATATTAAAATGTTCACATCTTCTCAGTATTAACAAAAAAAAACATGTCGTTTCAAAGTCGTTTGGAAGTTGAAAAACAACCACAGACCAACCGTCGCTTACATGCTATGAATTAGAATGTGAATGATCAAACGATATGACGAATACCTTTGCGTTATATCCAGACTCACGTACCATGGTTGCGTTGCTTTGTTCAATTATTGAAGCAAGCTATTGAACAAAGCAACGCAACCATGGTACGAAAGTCTGGATATAACGCAAAGTTATTCGTCATATCGTTCGATCATTCACACATTCTAATTTATAGCATGTAAGCGACGGTTGGTCTGTGGTTGTTTTTACTTTTCCGTACACAACGTGTCAAGGGAAAGTATAGGAATTGGTCCCGAAAACTTTTTTCGCAAAATTAGCTTAGATCATCATAAAAACTCATGAAACGCGTAGAAAACCACTTTTTGAGACACTTTTCCGTTCGTGTGCTGTCGTCGTTGTCGTTGTCGCTATCTTAGCTGTTTGTTAACACGATAACTCGAAAAATAATTGAGATAATCAAAATCTGGAAATGCCAAAAGTTTTGTATTTGAAAAACTTAGTTTAAGTTCGAAGATGAGCCATTTTCGATTTGACCCTGGGGTACTTGCCCTAAGAAAAACTTCAAAAAATTGACACTTTTGTATGGGAGGTACCTGTAAATCGACTCTGATTGGCTTCAAACTTTCTGGGATTTCATTTTTTGGGAAAAAAATAAGATTCTGAAAGTTTGAAACCAATCGGAATCGATTCACGGGTACCTCCCATACAAAATTTTTGACTAAAATTACCGATTTTTGGACAATTTTGTATGGGAGGTACCCGTTAATCGATTCCGATTGACTTTAAACTTTCTGAGGTTTCATTTTTTGGAGAAAAAATAAGATTCTGAAAGTTTCATGTTGATCGCATTTGCAGAAGTTTGATTTTTTGTCCTCAATTTCGGCCGACATTTTCTTGGAAAAAATTGAGGGCCAAAAACCAAACTTCTGCAAATGCGATCAACATGAAACTTTCAGAATCTTATTTTTTTCTCCAAAAAATGAAACCTCAGACAGTTTAAAGCCAATGAGGTACGGTTTACGGGTACCTCTCATACAGAAGAGAAATACTTCATGTATTTTGTTGACGATTGAAGCAAAGTATATCAATAGCGCCGCCTAACATGATGCGACATTGGATGCGACGTTTGCACGAATCAACATCTCTGTGTACAACGCACACATAGACTCTTCACATTCGCACGAACGTACACACAAAGACTTTACTTTCACACAAACGTATATTTACAGAGATTTGTGGTTGGCGGCGCTCCCAACAAAGTTTCAACAGCAGTTCTAAACGTCAAACATTGTTAAAGCATATGAGATAGCTACTGCTGATTTTCATTATTATATTTTCACTGCTTTTATTTCAAGAAAATTCACAAAAAATAACCTCAAGTACCTACGGACAACGCAGGCCAACGGTACGGAAAAGTTCGGGATTACCAATGTAATTCTTTTTATTCAACTTCCAAACGACTTTGAAACGACATGTTTTTTTTTGTTAATACCGAGAAGATGTGAACATTTTCATATTCAAACATATAAGTCAAATAAACTCCACTGAACATTTCAAGGGTGAAAAATATTTGCTTGAATTTTCAATTCAATGTGGTCGAATTGCGTTGTTTTTCAAACCATTTGCGAAAACATTCTGTAAGTTTTAATAGAATCGTCTTTACACGTGGACTAAGTTATACCGTGATGTACACGTGTTGCTTACTGATGTGATCATACTTGAAAAGTATATAAGAAGATGCGTTCCATTCGTATACCCATCAAACAGTTCGTCAATTCTCTTCAATTGATACGTTTGTAATAAACTTTTGGTAGTTCGAAGCTGCAAAAATGCTGAGTCGAAGATCTTTCACACTGCTGCTCATTGGCTTGGTGGTATCCCAGGTGAGCGACAATTTCAGTCAATTTTTTTTGTAATTTTATTATTGCTTGAAATTCTTTCACTCACAAATTTTGGGTTTATTCGAATAAAAAACAAATTAAAACCATTACAATCTCATCCATTGTTCCAATTCCAATTTTTTCACTTTGTTTTTCACACAGTTCTTAATTGTGGAAGCCAACCATAATGGTAAGATTGAAGCTCCATTTCTTTATCAAGTTTCATCTCACGGACGTAAGACATTTTCTTTCGATTCACTGCACTGATCTACAATTTTTTTTTCAAGCTCCAGCTAACAGAAGAGACGGAAATACAGCTCTGCATATTGCTGCTAGAAATGGTGAATTTGAGCATTTGTGTTGTTAACAAAATGATTTTGTTCAATCTAATATTTTATTGATCTATTTTATTTCTCAGGTCATTTGGAACAAGCTCGGGGACTCATCAATACAGGAGCCAACGTTACTATTACAAATAATGCACGAAACACACCGCTTCACGAAGCTGCTTATAATGGTGTTGTTTTCACTAAATAAAACATTGATTTGATCTTTTTCATTGATCTTTGTTTTTTTTTCAGGTCACAGGAATGTCGTTGAACTTCTCATTAATAACGGAGCCAACTTGGAAGTTCGAAATAGTGATAATTTAACACCTCTTAACGCAGCTGCTTTAAATGGTATTGAATAGTTGTTTTCACTAAATAAAACATTGATTTGATCTTTTTCATTGATCTTTGTTTAATTTTCAGGTCACTCGAATGTCGTTGATTATCTCATTGAGAGAGGAGCCAATACTGAACTTGATTGAGATACCTGTTCAACATGCTGCTAACAATGGTAATTTTGAATATTTATTATTTTCACTAAACAAGGAATTGGTTTGATATTTTTGATCGATCTGTATTTTTCAGGTGAAAAAGAGCTGAATAATCGGATGATTTGACCATAACAAAATTGCTCCTTTGTTCGACCATTGATTTATTATTCTATAAAAAAAACAGCTCAAGTTATTTGTCTGTTAAATTCCTCACAGTATTGAGTAGAAGATTTTTTACCTGGACTTGTGCAAATTTAACCGTTTGTCTATAATAAGTACAAATTGAAAAATAAACTTCTCTCAACTAGTGTCAATCACCATTACAACGTAAATAGTTTTAACTCATACTCACTCTCTGAGAAATGCTAGACTTCTTAATTTACCAACTATTACCACCAGTGTGGAATACTACAGCCCATTATTACGCATGCATCATCATCAGAGTAGTATTTCAGTGGTCTAGATCTGTGTGAGCCTCGGCTTGGCGCATTCAAGACGTACACACTTTACGAATTAAAAGTAATGCAACAAGCAATAATAAACTAAAAAATCGAGTCCCTGTTATTATGGTAATAAGCGAGCCATTGCTGTCATTCATTGATAATCATCATCACCACCTTACAGCTTCTTCTCGTGTTTGATTCATGCTCGAGTTCAGCTTGAATTAGAACTTTGCAATTGTACTTCACACTTTGCACGCATTGTCGTTTGTGTAATAGGCTTAGAATAAGTGTAGAGTCGCCTTAATAGTCCTTTCAGTCTCATAGTAGCTGTGTGTCGTTCACAGCGTGAACGACACAACCAACTGTCAAGTGACACACAACATTGTACCACCGGCATTCAGTCGCTAGCATTAGAACGTAACACAAGCAATAAAGAAACTTAAAAATTAAATTACAGCTGTTCTCTTATTACAGCTTTAATGAGCTTGACTTTCAAATCAGAATGATGTATTCATTTCTCAAGTACTTGTCATATTTGATCCAATAGATAAGGACCAATACTGCAATTATGCGCAGATGAAATGCATTGGAGAACATGAAATCAATGTTCTAGCGGATGAGCATCACTAGAAAATCAGACCGTGTCTTTCTACCTTCACAGAAATGCATGTTGGTTTTGTCAGGTATGTAGGCGGAAGTAGTAAACGTATAAATTGACCATCAGAACGAATTGAATTTAAATTTAAATTTAATTCATCTGCAGCATTTATGAAAAAGATAAATTAATTGCGAGTAATCAAACGGCAGATATTTCGACTGTGACAATTGAAATAAATAGTCAACCTATAACTTTGTTTGATCCTCTTGTTGTTAATGTTTAATAATGTTCATGTTGATTGGTGTTCATATTTTCCTTTCACACTTTGAACTTTCATTCTGGGTCTTTCGTTTCTACTTGATATTGAATAGAAAATATCCACATTTGCACAAGGCTCAAAGTTTGTGCCAAAATGATTCGTGAATTTTTTTGTTCATCTCCCCCTACATTTTTCAAGCGATCCCGTCCAAATTTTGCACAAATATTCTTTCGGTCGAGGTCTAAGTCACAGTGCGGTTACTAGTAGTACTTTATAACCATTTGGTCGTAAATTTATCTCTCGGATAGCAAAGTGTTGAATATTTTTGAGAAAAATTTGATTCGAAATATCCGTATTATTAAAATTTGTGATGAAAAACCAGAGAACATTGGCCTGAACTTCAAGTTTGACTGTGTTTTGCGCAAAAATTGACAATTGATTTCTTGTTACCACTCCTGGGATAAAAATAAATTACAAATATTTCGATATGACTGGAAATTTTTCATATTTATGGCACCAATAAGAACAGAAACAAAGTTAAACATCAATTTACATCTCTATAAGTAAGAATCATGCTGGAAATTTTGGTATTTTGACCAAAACAAATTATGCCTGGGATAAATTTATCCCGAGGAACATAAATTGACTGAACCTTTGGATAGAGTTATGATATCAGAGCATGTAGAAGCGTAAATGAAAGGTATGGAAGTCCTATTTTCGAGAAAAAAATTTGTCTCGATTACTTTTCGATTACTTCTCTATTATTTTCTCGACTACAAATTACCTTAGAGTGATTTCCCCCTCGCCTATTTATCTTTGTAAATTCAAGATTCAATATGGTGAATTGATTGAAACACATTCTCTGACCAGCAGTTTGGAATTCCATTATTACAAAAGCACCCTAAAACGTAACAAATTCGTACCAAAATTTGAATTGGTTATATTTTAGTATGAAATCGGTAAATATTTAGTACGAAATTGTTACGTATGCTTTTGTAATAACCCTTTGAAATTTTAGCATATTTTTGTTCATGAAAAAAATTAAATTAAATAAAACTATTTTCAAATTGGTGAAAAACAAACATATTGTCTGCCGAACAATTCGTTTTTTATTGTTGTTGCAACATTTTATTACAAAACCTTATCAAATTAACTTGAACTAAATCCAATCACCAATCTACAGAATTGAATGCATAGTAAACATGTCACACCATTTTTATTTGGGTCACAGATTGAAAATATTATCCGTAACGGTGACAGATATTTTTTTTTTTCATTTGTTAAATTTATTCATGGCTTACAGGACCTGTGATACAGGTAGGTACCGATAAAAAAAATTATCCGTATCGGTGAAAAAGTCCGATTATAAAGATAGCAGTTACGGATAAAACTCTTTATCCGTACAAAATAAAGACTCAATAATATAACAAACTTTTGTATTACCACCTTATACGCGATAAACCAACATAGAGAAATATTCCATGCATTTTGTTGACGATTAAAGCAAAGTATATCAGTGGGGCAGCGCCCCAAAGGGGCGAATTTTATTTATGGAAAATTGAGTTATTATCAAAAATGTCACCTAGCATGGAACAAACGAAGAAATTTTCAAAGAATGTCTTTTCTGACCACATATGGCGCTGTAACTCCTTTCACAGATAGAAAACCATTCTGAAAATTCATTGGCAGATTCATGACGATGAAACAAGACTCTCAGCCAATTTTGAGCGATATCTCGTGGAGGTAAACCGTACTTCATTTCAATCCGTTGAAATACAATTGGTTGGGAGATTCTGTGTAATAAAAGTGATTATTTTTTAAATAATCCGAACGCAATTTTACAAAGTCGATGGGGTATGGTGGAAAGATATTGTTACGGTTGAAATATTTGTCTGCATAAAATTTTGAAATCGTCGAAAAGTTGTCGGAATAATTCCGGTGGGAAGCTGAAAAATAGTGGAATCTCTCTCTTTCACTCCAATATGGTCCTATGTACGAAAAAAATAATTCCGAACGATTTCGGTGGAATTCTTAGAATTCCAGCCCTGCTTTGGACTTTGTTGGAACCGCACAAAATGTTTTTTTTTGGGACACAAGTCAAAGTAGATAGTAAATAATAAAAAGATTGCGCGTCGTCGTTAATGCAATGCGATAGTACATACCGTCATGGTAGGACAAATTTCAACGTCTATTCTGTGCCATTGCCACATGTGAAAAGGAAACATAACTAAACTAAAGAATAAAAGGTGAAGCAAAAACAGGCACAAAAAATTAGTCGAGATAAATTATAAAATATAGTAGAAGTGAAACTCAGCTATTTTTTCAGCAAGGGATACTTTTTTTATGTGTGGAACCTTTAAATGTATCATTACAGAAAGCTTTGTGTTGTCCATTTTTCAACAATTGACATATTTACATTAAAAAATACAAAATACAATGTACATCGGTATATTGCCATCAATCATAACAATTAATCGAATATTTGCTGCGTAAGCTTTGTTGTGTTCCCCAATGAATCTTCATACAGATAACATTTATCTACACTTCTAATTCGAAGATTATACAATCGCGGAATGGTTGGAAATTCCAACTTGGATGTTTACGAATCACTCTCTATATTATGGAAATATGCATGCGATTGCATCTATATTTGCAATATTTATACTTTTTTTCACCTTCTTCTTCTCCTCCTTCTTCTTTCTTTCTAATTTAAATGTGACACTATTGGGTATTCATCAAAACTGAAACTAAAGAATTTCCTTCATTGCTCACATTTATAAATGGAACCAAAAAGGCGTACATGCCTTTAAAATAGCAAAACATACTATATTTAAATGGGAATCATGTGAACATGTACCAATATTTATTGTGATTATAGTCACTTCTTGCTTCGTACTATTTTTATCTTTGATTTATTATTCTTTCCAAAACAATAGTTTATCTGATCAAATTTTTTGGAAATTCCAATTTTCTGGGACGTCATGCGACGTTTTTCATTTGAACATTCAACAAAATCAGATGTTTTTGTCTATATTTTATTTTTCATTTAACAAAGCAATTGAAAAGATTTGTGATCTTCGAAATGTCACATTTTCAAATTAAAAAAATTATCGCGGATTTCAATGACATTATCGAACACGTTTGAAGAAGGTTTGTGTTTTCATTGTAATTTATTAAGGCCGTTTGGTTATTCTTAAATTCGGCGCGACAGCGATCAGACAAGCTTTCATCGGATAAAAATTAATTATTTGCTTAAAATGATGGATGGAACAAATGTACCCTTCCAATTGACTAACGTACGGAATCAATATCTCGCTGTGCTTGCAGGTGTTTATTTCTTCATTATTTCACCAATTAATTTAAATTGGTTTTGTTTAATTTTTTTTTAATTGCTTAATTAGATTGATTTGTCTTAATCAAAAATAATTTCATATACCTACAGCTAACATAATTTACTATGGGCATGGATGTGGACTTGGTTGGAATTCACCAGCTGTCCAAATACTAAAAGATCCGATCAAAACTCCACTTGAAAGTGGCCCTTTAGACAACGAGGTGAATAAATATAAATAATAAATAAATAATAATTAAATAAATAATAAATAAATATAGGATGTCTCATGGATCGGATCGATAAATTGTATGGGCGCATTATTCGGGTCACTTTTCTGCGGTTATTTGATATCTCTGTTGGGCTGCAAACGTACATTGCTATTTATGAGCGTTCCGTCTGCTACATTTTGGCTGTTGATTTATTTTGGGAATTCATACTACCACATTCTTTTGGGCAGATTCATCAGCGGATTCTACGGCGCAGGTATACAGACGGCACAGTGTCTGTATGTTACAGAGATAGCAAACGATAAGTACGTTACTCAACTAGTTGAAATAGACATTCGTTTGACCTTTCAAATTAGAAAAAAATGTAACTAAAAGTCTCTTTTCAAACCATGTTCTAGTGTCCGTGGAGGACTTGGAAGTACTTGGCTAATTATATACAATTAATTCGTCAATTTTGTTTCAAATGAAGAATTTTCTTTTCGTCTTTACTAGTATTCGTGGACGATTAGGAAGCTTTTGGCTATTCATACGAAATATCGGTATTTTGACTGCCTATATATTTGGATCGACGCTTGAATACAGAGAAATCCCGTGCATTTGTATTTGTATACCCATCACATTTGCTATAATTTTCTTTATGTTTCCGAATACTCCTCGATTTCACCTGTACAAAGAACACACTTTGGTAAATATTCATCCATTTTGACCTTGAAACATTTCGTTTTCGAAACTTTTCGGATTTAAAATTGTATTTGAATTGATTCAATTATAGGCAGCAGAAAATTCGTTAAAGTTCTATAAAGGTTACAAAGGAGAGAGCAACGAAGAAGACGAGGCGATTTACAAAGAATTGGAAAGGCTGAAATCGATTGTACATGAACAGAAAGCCGAAGTAAAATTGCAAGCATCAGACTATTGTAATCTTCTTTTTTCCCTTCAATTTATTATTTTCGATGGAAATATTTTTCTTTGAACCATTTTTTGCATTCTTCAAAAAAAAAACTGATGACAAAATGTGATTATTCACAGTCAATAGTACCGCATTGAAGGGATTAGCCATAGCTGTGACTCTTACCGTTCTGTCAACCTTCACTGCCAATCACACACTCATCAATTATTCGGTGATGATATTTGAGAGAGCCGAAACAAATATTGACCCTTATCTTCAGTCCATTGTTCTTGCCATCGCACTCATTCTCGGCTCACTGTCAACTACCTACTTCGCTGATATACTCGGCCGAAAAATCTTGTGTTCAATCTCATTTTTGGGCTCGGCACTTGGATTGCTTTCGTTATCACTCTATCATTACCTTCATCTGAATGGCAATGACTTATCAGCATTCGCATGGGTCCCAGTGACTAGTTTATCATTTGTAATATTCATATCTGCTGCGGGCGTATTACCAATGACAATGATTTGTGGCGTAGAATATATTCCGCCAAAGGTGCGTATCAATCAAAATTGACTAATTTAGATAAATGGCAGCAAATTTTGCCGCTAAATACTTGTATGGCGTAGTAAACATATTTAAATCACATCTTTTTAATAATATTTCTTTTAACAACTCAGTCAGTTATGCTTATTACTTGATTAATTTCAGATTCGAACGTTTGGCATGGCAATAATTGTGTTCGCTACAAATTTAGCTGCATTCGGAGCGGTTAAAGCATTTCCTATTCTCTTAGATTCTTTGGACCTTTATGGTTGTATGGTGATCCATGGAGTGGGTTGCTTAGTTGGAACAGTGTTTGTAGTTTATGTTCTGGAAGAAACGACCGGTAAATCCTTAGACAATGTTGGTGTTGATGAAAAAACAACAGATGAACTTAATAGCATTTAGTGAAATGAGGCACTTGGAAAAATAAATGTTTTTATAAAGAAACTGAAAGATATTAGATAAGATAGATTTGATAAGAAAAATTATGATGTGATATCATCCAAATTAGAACGAATTTGCAATGATAAACCTATGATAAACTCAGTTAGACCATTTGATCTAAAATCAAAATTGTTACCAAATGAAGATAACGCTTATCGCAAGATTTAGTAGTGAAGCTTAGCTATTTGCCAGGTAAATATATTTGATATTACGTGTGCAAAAGGTGTTGATTCTATTATTATAGAAGAAAGATCATCATGATGTAGTCAAAAGTTGAAATTGTGGATAATATGTGGAAGTAACGTTATTACATATCAAAGTTTGATAGTTATCAGCTTATTGATGAGTGTATTTATTGGGATTTCCGCTGAAAAAGAAGCTACTTTAACCTACTAAAATTTATTGTGTTTTCGAGTACACACTACACAGTGAAGTGATGTAATATCTAATAAAAATCTTAACGTGACCGACGTATTACGTATGCAAAAGTAACGTATAAACAAGTGCACAACAAGATAGTGAATGAATATTTCTCTTTTGTGTATGGAATATATCGAATTGATTAATAACACAGACTCTACTCGATATAAAACGTACAGATTGAGTGAAATAACCGGAATATTAACCTCACGTTTATTGTTTCCAACTGAAAAGCTAAAATTAAAGCGACAAAAATGATTATGTTAGAGAATTTTAATATTTTGTCAAATGTACAAAATCAGCTATATGCAACGATCATAGGTAAATTACTATATAATCCAATTTAATTCGTTTGAAAAAACATGTGGTGCGTTATTTATTTTCAAATCAGCAAATTTTGTGATAATTTCGTATGGAATGTTCACGGGATGGCTTTCGCCAGCTTTGCCCTTGCTCATTTCCGAGGATACACCACTCCATACGGGACCAATGACCAATGCAGACTTGTCATGGATTGGTGGTGCCGTCAGCATTGGCGCTGTGGTTGGTACCATTCTATTTGGGGTTTTGTCAGTTAAGTACGGATCTAAATTGGCTATGACGTGTTGTGCCCTTCCGTGCATTGCATTTTGGATTCTCATTTACATTGGTGATACATTTTATTATGTATTTTTTGCACGTTTATTTGGCGGAGTGGCTGGCGGCGCATTTCTCAACGTTGAAACTTATGTCCACGAAATAGCAAACAACAAGTAAATAGAGTTCAATTAGTTTGATTTTTATTCACCGATAGTTAATGATTTCAGAATTCGCAATCGTCTCGGTTCGATTCTTCCGTTGGCCAAAAATGTCGGCATTGCAATGTCATTCATTGGTGGCTCCTACATTCCATACGGATACAGAGCGATGTTTTTCATTGTGATTCCACTAATCTACCTAGTTTGGGTGACAACATTGCCAAACACGCCACAACACTATCTCCAGAAAGATAAATTTCTAGTAAGCTCATGTTAGATCATGTTCTGTTTTTCTGTTTCGAGTTTTTAATATTTTAATTTATTGTTCTCGTTAAAAACCCATTTTCAAAATGGTAGAAAGCAGAGAAATCGATCAAATACTACAACGGATGCGAGGGTAAAAGTGATCACGAAAAGGCCATTTTTAAAACGGAATACCAAAAGTTTATTGCAAATGAGCAAGAACGACGAAAACGTACGAAAATCGAGTTGAAAGACTTTCAGAATCGTATGGCTCTGAAGGGATTTGCTACGAGTTTTGCGATGGCTTGGCTTATGCAAACGACGGGTATCGTTATCATCATCAATTATGCGTCGTTAATTTTCCAAGAATGCGGAACATCGTTGAGTGTAAATGCGTCTTCAATCGTTCTGGCCATTATACAAATTGTTGGTGGTGTGGTATCAACATTACTGGGTGACTTTAGACGCAAAACAACGCTATATTTTTCCTTATCATGTTCAGCATTTGGTTTATTTATATTCACTCTATATTCGTATCTGCGCCATAGTGAATATGATGTTTCACATTTTCTTTGGCTACCCGTAATATCGTTATCTTTCGTCATTTTCACATCTTCCGTTGGCATTGTGGCCATTTCTAATGCATGTGCATTGGAGAACTTTTCACCGAAGGTTAGTATAGATGGAGGATATACAAGTGGAGGATGGCACGCGGGGCTTACTTGTACTTTCACAAATAAACAAAATTATTTGTCCCCAAACGGTTAATATTTCTAATCTGTGGAAGTGATGACAGTGACCCTAGTCGAGAAAAGTCTTAATATTACGTTCCAATTTTTTTCAGATTCGGCCCATCGGCGTAATGTTTCATTCGTTGTGCCTTAATGCAGTTGCTTTTGTCGGCGACATATTCTTTCCAATATCATTAGAAGTAGTCTATCTGCATGGCTCTATGTTGATTCTCGGAATCAATTGCTGCGTTGGACTCATTTGTGTCGCTTTCATGGATGAAACTAAAGGCACATCGATCGATTCGGTTGATCCACCTGAGAACAATGCGCCAGTACCTAAACCGAGTCCAATGCCATCGCTGTCAATGAGACAACATCTACGCAATAAGTTATCAGATCATTTCTAATCTTGTTTTTTTTTTCTCTTGCTAGATTGTAATTCGTGTTGGATTTAGGCAAATTTTAAGGCTATTTATTTTTACATTCAACCAAAACTGTGTGTTTTCTATTTGCACAAGATCTTTTTGTTTTCTTCTAAGAAACGCTAGAATTGTATATGGCGGAAATCTACTATGAATATTTATTTTGAAAATTTGTTTTGAAATCTGAATTCAAAATCTCGAAAAATATGCAAAGAAATTCACTACGCAATTATATAATTTATAAATTATAATAACAAACAACTCTGTAAACAAACGGGTGATAATAAAAGCTGTGGCTAATCATTTACGACTATCAAATCTGCTCGCTTCACAAATTTGCAATTAGCTTATCTGGTGTCAGTAATTCAAAATGACTACTGACGTGATTACAGGTGATGTAATTTGATTAGACTTTCATGAAATTACTCTCTCCGATCATTTTATGAAATTTCAATTTAATTAATTGCAAAGAGACTGTGACTCCGACAAGTCGTGTGAGTTTACTAGTGGAAGCATAATCAAATAGAGATTTTATTGCTTTACGATGACGACAAAAGAACCTGAAAAGCCTTTTCAGTGGCCCAATGCATGGAATCAGTACTTTGCTGTGCTGGCAGGTGATTTTCGATTTAATTTTAAAATTTATTACTTCAAATAATTTTCACTTTAACTAAAAAAAGATTTTACAGTATTTTGGTGGTGAATACACACCAGTTACTAATTTTCATCTGCTTTTTTTCCGAATGTAGCTAACATTCTGCAATTCGCGCACGGATGTATAACGGGATGGCCATCACCCGCTCTACCGGTTCTCACGTCCGAAAACTCACCTCTTGTCAAACCGTTAACAATTGAGGAGTCTTCATGGATTGGTTCAATCAATTGCATTGGAGGCTTGTGTGGTTCACTATTGTTTGGTTATGTGATACCAATTCTGGGTAGCAAACGAGCATTACTTGTTCTCACCATACCGTCGATCATATTTTGGGCCATGATTTACTTTAGCATCAACTTCAATCACATTCTCATAGCGAGATTTATAGCTGGCTGTGCTAGTGGCGCAATGCAATCCGCAACAATGCTGTACGTGTCGGAAATTGCCAATGATGAGTATGTAATCGGAATTATATACAATTAATTCGTCAATTTTGTTTCAAATGAACAATTTTCTTTTCGTCTTTACTAGTATTCGTGGACGATTAGGAAGCTTTTGGCTTTTCATGCGAACTGTTGGCGTTTTATTCATTTTTATTGCTGGTGCGATGGTTGAATATGAATACCTACCGTGCATTTGTGTTCTATTTCCAATCCTTTTTTCGCTGGTGTTTGTAATGATGCCTATTACACCGCAATATTTCCTTCAGAAAGAACAAATTCAAGTAAAAATTCTTCCAAAATGAATCAACACGTAAACTAAATATTTTCTTAAACAACACGATCGAAATGAAAATATTTCACCAGCAGAAAGCAGAGAACGCACTGAAATATTATAAGGGTTACAGAGAATCTAGTTAAGAAGGGGACATTGCTCTTTATAAGGAATTCGAACGACTGAAATCGCTTGCAACTGAACACAAAACAGAGGAAATACTTAAGCCATCCGATTTCTGTAAATTGTCCACAAATTGTCTTTAATTTCTCCAAAACTAACCTGCCTGTGTCTCATCGCAGTTAATCGGAATGCATTGAAAGGGCTTGACATTGGTATCGCTTTGACTGGATTTTCAATGATGACGGCAAACTTGATGCTCGTTAGCTATGCAGTCATGATTTTTGATCGGTCTGGAACTTCACTAGACCCATACGTGTCATCTATTAGAGTGGTTTTTTTTCGAATTTTTTCGAATTTTACGTCACCAAATAGCTTAATCGTTGCAGAATCATACAAAAAGAAAATTCCAACAAAAAACTACCCTAAAACCTGGGATTGGGACCTGGCGCCCGAGCTTTAATTATTCAGATAGCCAAAAATCGCCATTTTTGGCATTTTAAGGTCTTTTCCTTAACTTGTGGTCAAAGAACATAACATATTTAATATAAAAAAACAGTACTCAATTGATTTTACATCGATTTTTGATCATTTTTAGTGAAAAATGGGTAATTTCAGGCAAAATTTCGACAATTTTGTAGGGGAGGTACCCGTAAATCGCTTCTGATTGACTTAAAATTTTCTGAGGTTCCATTTTTTAGAGAAAAAATGAGATTCTGAAAGTTTCATGTTGATTGCATTTGCGCAAGTTTGGTTTTTGTTCCTCAATTGTTTTCGAAAGTTTCTTGTACTTTCTATTTGGTAATACCGCTTCAATGAAGATTGCCACAAAAAAATAAACATATTTAGACTGTATAGCACTTAAATTCTTCGTTTGACATCTCTCTATGAGATTCCAGAGAGAAACTGTACTGTCCCAATCGATATAAGTCATTTTGAGCCCACCAAAGTCTCAAAAAGTAGCCAAATTCTATTATTTTCCACTAAATTTTGTACAAAAAGTACTGTAACTTTGGATAGAGGTATGATATTAACACATGTTATGGCTTAAATAAAAGGTATTGAAGCCCACTTTTATATAAAATCTTGA